TGAAAAGATTTATTTTAGCGATTTTGCTGCTTTATAAAAACCGCAGCATCATTGTGCTGCCTTTAAAGGCCCTTTAGCTTTGTTTGTGGAGATATTTTTATTTTTTTGACATTTTAAGTGAGAATGTGTCATTAATTTGTAGCGGATTTAAAAACGCGTAAGAAAAAGTCCTCTTCTTGTTCTTAATTTGTACCAGGGAGCTTTGACTGAAGCTCAAAAGACAACTGGTGTAACCAGAACAAAGTCGGTCTTCTCGTGATTCGCTGCTGTCAGATAACGCAGTGAATCACATACACACTGCGTCCCAGAAGAAAGACAGACCCCTCACCAAACACCACTTGACAGCCTTCAAAATAAAGCTCTTGCATAACGACGGCTGCCTGGAAGCAGCGAGTCTCCTCACAGTGATTCAGACTGAAGTCGGGTGACGGACTGCATCTGGTGTGTGCACTTGTGTTTGTGTCTTCATGTCCTCAAGCGTGGCTGAACATCTGTCCTGATGTTCAGCTGAGCGCAGCATGGTTGTTTGACTTTGAAAAGCAAGTGCCACAGCACCAAAGCTACTCAGAAGAAGCCACGTTTGAGCTAAAAGTGAAAGGAAACAATCAAAATACAGCAAAAATACATCTTACCAAGTATATTTGGTCTAGTTTTCAGCGCAAATATCTTAATACATTTGAAACAAGACGAAACTAACTTACAGTCTTTCAGCAAGATATAAGCTTGTTTTAAGTCAGTAATTAATAGTGATGAAAAAGAACTAGTTCCACAGGCAGATTACCGAACTTATAACAAGAAAAAAATATCTTTTTATAAGTTAACTTATCTACCAATGGAACTAAAACTTTTTTATCAGCATTAAGAAATTATTAACTTAAAACAAGCTCTTATATCTTGCTGAAACTTATTTCAAATGTATTAAGATATTTGCACTGAAAACCAGACCAGAAATACTTGTTTTTGCAGTGAAGGTGTTTTCTTTAGAAACTCTTTACAGGATAATTTCATTAAGATTATATTATTTTATTTTTTAGAAATGATTAAGTCATTTTGGTAGATAAATAACACTTACGGTAAACTTGTTCATCTTATCTCAGTAACATTTTGTAGCTTTCGCTACATGGTGGTACAAGGTTACTCTGAGCTCTGAACACTCACACTTTGGCAGAGATCATTGTACAGTAAAGACAGCTTATCTACAAATTTACTCCTTTTTCATAAGAAAAATGTATTCAGTACTTTTCAGGCTGGCTTTTGCCCACACCTGATTAAAGTTTTGACACAAATGCGGCTACTGGAAAATAGGGTCCAGATTGTTTGATGCCGAACTGGTTCAGATTTCATTTGGTAAACTAAAACCCCTGCGTGTCATTTTGAATGTTAGCAGATAAAGATCACATGTGGGGTTCCTCAAGGCTCTAATCTTGGGCCACTTTTATTCAACATCTATAAGCTCACCCAGCTTAAAGAGTATTAAAACTTTTGATGCCAAAAAGGCAAAAGTTGCAGATTTAAGGTTAGAGAGCATTTAGCTAAACACCGTAAACCAGTAGAGAGTCCTGACCAAAACCAAGAAAATTGATCCAATTACACCAGTTATTAAATCACTGCATGTCTTGAATGTAAATATATTTCAGAGTTGCTTCACAGACATGAACCATTTAGTTTTCTTGTTTTGTAACAGACCTGTTGATGTAGTGTTCCCAGGACCAGAATTAAAGAAACTGAGATGTGCAGTTAACTCCTTTAAATAATTTAAAACATTAACTATCTCACCTATTAATGTGTTTTAAATTTGTATTTTAATGTTAGTTTCTGTGTTCATTTTTATTATTCTTTATTTAACTTCATTCTATATTTCTTGCCTTTTATTACCTTCTATATTATTGATGCTACAAATCAACCTCAACAGGTTTCAGCTCTTACCAACATACCACACGTCTTTATTACAAATATTCTTTATTTCTCAGAGTATGACAGATCTGTACAAACACATCCTCCTTTTACTGAAATTTCCAGGTTAACGACAAGCTTGACATGAGCAGACTGCAGCAGCGTATCATCTGTTTTTGTTTTTCAACCAGTGAAAACAGGAGTGGTGGTTCACCCAGGCCGCGCTCGGCTGGTTTTCTGAAAGAGACTCTGAGCTGGTGTCCCCTGTAAGATGTGTAAATCCTCAGATTAGATATCTGAGTCACAGAGTCACAGGACGTGAACTGGGCCGGACTCAGAAAGGGCTTACAGTGGCAGTAGCCCAGGGCTCCACGTTTTGTGGGACCCCAAAGATTTTTGTAATGAATAAATGTTTTACATTGTAGCATATATAAAACTCATAAGCAAGCCCAACTGAAATGTGTTGTCTTGGTATTTTTTGATTGATATTTTTGTTAATGTACACAAAACTCAAATATTTGAAAATTCTGAACTTATAATACATTTATTTGGGACCAACATGGAGCCATCAACTGTAGTTTCCATGTGTAAATGCTTGTTTTTTTGTTGTTGTTGCTGTTTTTTGAATAGGGTACCAAAACCGGCTCTTGCCCCGGGCCCTTATCCTTTTAAATCCGGCCCTGGACATAGACGAATACAATGAGTAGTTTCATTTTGTGCCCTAAATCAGACATATTTATATGGATTTTGTGTTCCTTTGCTTCACATCCAGTGAGACCAAATACCAGCTGTGACGCCGCGTCTCTGAGTCACGTATTAAACATCGCCAGCATAGAGCGGGGGCCCGTCACAACAACACCCAGTAAATCAAAGTCACAGATTTATGAAGTTTTAGCTCTCACACAGTTCTACAAACCTCAACAACAGCAACAAAGAATAATTATGCTTTACTTTCAACAAAACAGAAAACCCCCCAACATCCATCACATCTATTTTCTGTCTCCACGTTCAGATAGCCATCTGCTCTACGTTACGAAGCCCTTCATCTGCCATCCTGCTGCAACGCCACGCTGCGGCAACCACCTGAGAGGAAGTCAAAACAGGGGAAACCCTCTGACCTTTCATAACCTCAAAAGCTGGCGTCACAAGTTGCATTGCTTAGTTATCAGTTGGGATCAGAGTAGTTTCTGTGGTGATTAAATAAAGCAGAATCTACGGGATTACAGTGTTTTAAAGTTTAAAACATGAGCGCCTTCAGGTCATTTTAAGATACAAGCCAGGCGTTTTCTGCTGATTGACGGAAAGACAAGACAGAACAACACGGTTAACGCCACTAAGATGCTTAAACCGGACTGAATTAAGTACAAAACTAACTTCTGTTAAACTTGACACAGGAAATGCCAGCTATCATAAGAGTGTGTGACCTTTAGCCCACTTAGCTCCACAAGACAAATGACCTATTATGCCTTTTCTCCCTGCAACACACAAAGCATTTGGTATCAGCAGTTAAACATCCACACAGTGAACCCATTGAGCTGCGTTAGAAACAGCTTCCACTGAGAGAAACCAACAAATCCAACTTTCAACAAAAATTTTAGATTAACGTGGCAGCATGGCTGAAATGGTTAATCGGATTAATTGTGATTATTGAATTTATCGTCAACTAATTTAGTAATCAATCCTTTACTGGAGTATACTGACTGAAAGAACAGGGCAGTCAGAGCAGTAATTAGCCAAAGTTGTACAAAGATATATACATTTGGCATTTAAGATTTAAAACAGACTTTTATTTGTAAATATGTTTTACCCAGAACTCTTCCAGTGGCAGGGTTTGCTTCACCTAGTTTAAATTCTGCAAAACAAAATCTCATATTATTTGCTGTCAAATTATTAATTTAAAAAATAGTCAATAGATCAGCTACATTTTATTGACATTAAGTTGATTAAAAAGGGCTGAGCTTTTCACATGCTTGTATCTTTTTAGTTGCAGATGCACACTTTGCTACAAGTAAAAAACAAACTGAAACGGTGCTTTACTTTTGTTCTTCCCATCGATGCCCCACTATATGTTGGTCTGTCGCATAAAATAATTTAAAAAAAAACATTAAAGTTTGTGATTTTCATTTGATGAAATATTAGAAAGAGAAAACCGCCAGGTTTATAGATTATTGATGCGTTATAGACTCAGAGTGTCAGTAACTAGCAATAATATCAAGTAATATAACAGAAAAGGGATTTTTCTTAAGAAATAAAGATAGCAAAATACACTATGTATTAATTTTAGATTTAACCATGGAGGATCTGATTCAGCAAACGCTCATAGTCAAGTCTGAAAGGATAAATCACATGTAGCAGTGGAAATGTTTGGTACCACTTTGTTTAAGTTATAAGTCAAACACGTGCAGAAGAAATGATCCCGTTTTCACAGCTGACCAACCTGAACCGGCTTCGCTCTGTTTTCAGTCAGTCCTGATGAGTTTGAGAGGAAAAGATGATAAATTACCTTCCAATATGGAGACATGAAATGGTTTGTTTGCTGCTACAGAAAAAAAAAAAAAGATATAAAGAATGTGGGTTGTTTGGAAATCTCAGTTTTGATCAAAGCAGGAACAGTTTGTGACTTCTGATAGGACAAAAATGTGCATGAGTTCGTATCAAGATTAGATATGATTTGAGCTCTTGCATAAAAATAAAAAAGAAAGCCTGAATTTGGTACAAATTGTTCTGTTTAAGACCAAACAAAAAGCTGATTCAGAAACGTGTAAAATCAGGATGCAGTTACTCAGCGAATCCTCTGATCAGAGTAACAATGGCTCCGGTCTGAACTGACGTCAGGACGGATGGACTTGTTTCGACTTCATGTGCGTCTGGTGATCATGTCTGGGTCATAAAATCCTCTGTGACAAAGTCTGCTCCGAGGGCAACTCTCTTCCTCTCAGCAGCTCTTTCTGATTTTATTTTAAGCCAGTCCAGAATTGGGAACAATTTACAGTCGGCTGACAGTGTGTTGTTTGACTTAGATCATCGATTATAATAATTATATCCAACAAAGATTCCAGTTTTCCTCTGGGATGCATAAAAAGGCAGGATAAATTTATACCAAGAGGGTTGTTTTGTCTTTTTTCCATCAGTATTTTTGGACCAGAAATCCAGAGAAAAGCAACCTGGATGTGACTCTGTCACATTTTTTACTGGTCCCAGAACAGAACTGGTGTTTAACCAGTCTAAGGGAATAAACACCGGAGAATCCTCCAGGCGACTCAAAATAGAAGCTCAGTAGTAAATCTCATCCACAATATTCCACGTTCCAGTCAAGGTTTTATGTGGTTTTCTTTAAAACTCCAGCCCAGAACCAGAGCCCGATCCAGTCCTAGGTCTGCTCTACGCCACGCAGCAGTACCTTTTCCACCAGGACTTAGACAGACTCTTCATCTTGTCCGGGGTCTGCCTCGCCTTCATTCGGTGCTTCTGTTTGCCTCTCGAGCGTTTCCGTGAGCTGTATTTCTGCAGGCTGGCCAGGATGGCCGTGTCGAACACCTCCTTTAGGTTCTTCTGGGTCAGAGAGGAGCACTCCATGTAGGCCACCGCTCCGATCTCCATGGCACAGTCTCGGGCGTCCAAAGGGTCCACGGGCCGCTCCCGGTACTTCGCCAGGTCGATGAGCACCTGGAAGGAGTCGACAGCAGTTATCTTGGAGAACTATCCCCGCTCCACAAACTGCTCCACGTATATTAGAGCCACAACAGTTTGTGACAAGCCATGAAGAAGGAACAACTTTTCAGTCAAAAGGCAAAATGTGGCTATAAACTAACAATGCAAATTCCCCTGGACAATATGACTTGCATAATATAAGCATTGCCTATATTGATAGTTATTGATTAGTTTTTTTGTTTTAAGTATCTGAAATACTGCCAGTTTTAAAGTTTTATTTTATTTTTAAGCAGTTATAAGGCAGAGTGGCTGAACCTTAAAATGCAGCTGCGCCAGTTACTGAACAGGCTGTTGCTAGGTAACCAAAGAATGAGCGAGTTGCTAGGTAACCAGAGAGTGAGCGAGTTAGTTGAGCAGCTGAAGCCTTTCCTCTGCCTACATACCAAAAAAGCTTTGCCTGAAAATTGCCTTCACTTCTCCGGCTGGGCTTTCTCCCACTGAAATTGATTTCGCTGGTCGAATTCAACCAATCAGAGAACAGAAGGAGAGATTGTGAACAATGACTTTGATTTTCTGTGCTGAGTTAGAATTGCAGTTTGTCTGTAGTTTAACCAGTGGCAGTGTTGGCTTTGTTTCCAAATGCTGAATTGACAATAATGTTTGGATCGACACTTCTCTCTTTGCTTTGGAGGATGGTTGTTAACAGCGCAGGGAATAGCCAATAAGCTTCTTAGGGTCGATCTGGCACAATAAAGACGTCATGGACGAATGTTAGCAATTGGGTAAAGTCTAAAACTTAAACAGAGATCACTATGACACTGTGTTAGGGCCAGTGTAGATTGAAAAAAGGAGTAACTTTCTGCCAAAAGATTCTGAAATTTTCTAGAAAAAACAGGGAAATTTTCAAGTTTTTTCTGAAAAGAATTTCTTAGATTACTGTCAAAATGTCATAGTTATTTTCTAGTAAATTTTTACTTTTCATACTCAGAAAGTTCCAGTTGTTTTTTTATTTCTGAGATTAATCTCAAAACTTCATCATTTGTTTTCTAGCAATTTTTGACTTTTCAAAAAAAAAATTTCGTTGTGTTGCTATTTACAATGACCTTCACACATCAGTGTAGTTCGCACCTCCAACAAACTATTTCTGTAGCGAAGCATTGGACAAGGGGCTGTTTTGTTGTTGTTTTTTGCCAGGCTACCCAAAAATATATTTTCCAGGCTTTTGTAACTCTAAAGAGGCTTCCAGTTCTCATCCAGATGTGTTTATATATTAACTATAACATCATCAGAGGCAGTATTTTTCTTGTTGTGTTATTGTTTGAGTAAACCTGCCTACCTTGACATCCTCCCTGAGGTCACACTGTGTCCCCACCAGGACGAGGGGAGCGAAGGGGGCGTGTTTACGGATCTCTGGGACCCATTTCTCTGGAACGTTCTGGAAGGAGGCGGGACTGACGACGCTGAAGCACAGCATGAAGACGTCTGCACTGGTGTAGCACAGTGGGCGCAGCCTGTCAAACTCATCCTGGAAGGGACGAAACCAAACCACGTCAGGCAAACTTTGGTTCCATGACAGAGATTCAGACAAAAAAAAAAAAAAAATCAGCATATGTCTTCTAGTTCTGTATTTCTGTGAAATTAAAATCACATATTTAAATATATTTAATTGAAACTGCATATAATAGAACAGGGGTCAGCAACCTTTTCCGTTTTCCTCGTTGCTACAAAATAAAATACTTAGAGGCGCAAAAATATGTAATTGATATAAACGTGCTAAATGAGTTGTATTTTGAAAATCTAGGAGAAACGAGAAATTTAAACTAACCATCAACTGGTGCGAAGTATGAGAAATGTAGATATTTAATTTCAAGCCACAACATGATATTTTTTATTGATAGATGATTTAATTTGATTATTTCTTCTCTCAAAAACTCGTCCTTCTCTTCCTTGTAATCCTTTCTTCGTCTGTGGTCATGACAGTAACCCTTTATTTCTGTGCATACATCTTGTCTTTACATGTTGATAGATTAAACTCTTGTACCATCATCGACTGGGAAGGATTTCTTTTCATCTCCAAAGCTCTTCATTTCCCCCCTGTGAGTTTAAAAGTATCTGTTTCTCTTATCAAACACGTGTAGCTCGGCATGCCGGGCGTATCAGTTTCTTTCTGCCGAGAACAGCGGTTTCATAACCTCCGACCAGAAGCAGCTTGCCCACATGATATGGATCTTCTACTATCTTCTAAAGACAATCATCTGCTGCAGCTGTGGACAAAATTCACTTCCTGCCTGTGAGGGATTGTTTTTTTCCAGGGAAAGGCCCATCAAACACGGCTTCCTGGACAAGAACTGACCTCACTTAAGACATTTTATAATTCCACTTCACTTTGTTTCAGTGGAAAGCTCTGTTTGCTCTTTAGCAGTAAAACTAGAGGAAAACTCATCTCCCACTGTGTGAAAACGTCCCGGTGGACTTGTAACTAGACGGGGAAAACCATTCGAAAGCACAACCTCACAGTGTCCTATTTCAGCTCCAGACTTGTTTTATCCCTTCCCTTATGGGTCACACACATCCTGTGCTGCTTCACAGCACCAAACCTTAAAAACTTTAGAATGGGAAAAAAAAAACTACATAAATGGGCGTCAAATAAGCTCTAACAACAGAATAAAGTCCAGCGCATTTATGAAACCTTGAATTTTTAAAATAATTTTGTCACATTTAAACATCAAAGTTTAACATGTTTTATTGGGATTTGATGAGATTTTTTTAGTAGTGAAAGGAAAATCAAACATCCTTATTAAGATGTTTAAAAAAACCTAAAAATGTGACTAAACCTGAATAACTAATTCTGCTGGACGATATATTTTTCCACAGTGTATCGCGATAAACGATAATCTTGTTTTGAGAACATTTTCAAGTAATATAATGATGATTGTAAAATGATGCAAGTTTGCCCTTTCAAATATCAATAAACTTAACGATGGAACTAGAAGATGTTTAAGTATCCAAAATAGATAAAATTATCAAAAACAATAAATAAAATAAAAACCACACAACCAAAGCAATAAACGAAACCAATTCTCTGTATACTAAATTGCTGTTCAAAAACATGTTAATTATTGAGCTCAGTTAAATTTATCATGCGATTAATTGATTTATTGCAGCCGGTTTAAGTGTGAAATCTCTTTGTATTCAGCCCCCTTTATTCTAAAACCCAAAAATAAAATCCAATGCAAACAACTGACAACCCTAATTAATATGCAATCCACCGTTTTAGTCTCTGTCAGAGAAAAACAAACAAAAAAAGGCCACAGCAGACACTGATACTGTGTGGAAGACGCTACCACAAAACATGGTGGTGGCAGCATCATATTGAGGGGTTGCTTTTCTGCCACTGGTCAGAGTTGAAGGTAAGATGGATGGTATTAAACACGGCTGGTGCAATTCTTTAAGAAAACCTGCTAGAAGCTGCAAAAGACTTGAAGCTTTTATGAGGTTTTTACGTGTTAGAATGGCCTACTCAAAGTCCAAACCTAAATCCAACTAAGAACCCATTCACTGATGATAAGCTAAGGCAGTGTTTTTCAACCACTGTTCCGCGGCACACTAGTGTGCCGTGAGTGATCGTCAGGTGTGCCGTGGAAATTATTCAATTTCACCGGACTATAAGCTGCTACTTTTTTCCCAAACTTTGAACCATGAGGGTTGTAGCCCGCTGCGGCTTTTCTGTGTATTTTTCTTCAACCACCAGGGGGCTCTCTAACAGGAAGTGAATCATTAGAAGTCAAAATTG